CCGTAGCTGGTGATACCCTGAACGCAGATCTATTTTTGAAAATACCTGTGCCCCTTGCAATTGATCAAACAAGTCGTCGATCCTTGGTAACGGATACTTATTTTTTATTGTCACTTGATTCAGTTTTCTATAATCGATACACATTCTTATAGTCCCATCCTTTTTCTTAACAAACAATACTGGGGGCCCCCCACGGTGACACACTCGGTCGGATAAATTTCTTATCCAGTAACTCTTGTAACTGTCTACTTAACTCCAATAATTTTGACCTCGCCATCCTGTATGGAATCTTGGAGATTGGCTGGGTGCCAGGCTGGAGCTTTATGGTGAACTCGACCTCTCTATTGGTTTCAGTTCCGGAAAATCGTCCGGAAATACATCCTACAAATCTCTCACCACTGGTATCTCCTGGAGTGTAAGCCTCTTACTCTCGTTCCTATCAAAGACATAGATAAAGTTGTAACTCATGCATATATTCTTTCTAACATATTATCTTAACGCAAAAACTTATTTATTCATTGATTTTTCCCATACAGTAAAAGGTTCTTCGTGAGGGATCTTAAACACTACTCTCCTGCGGAAACAGTCTACATGAGTATGTTGTGCAGCAAACCAATCCATTCTCAGTATTACATCAAAGTCTTTAATATGTAGTAAAATTAAATCCACATTTAACATTCTCCCCTCTATTTCTACTCTACATAAGTTAAACATTACATCAGTACATAAAGCGCCATTAGTTGGCGTAGATATTACTAATACCCAATCCAACACCCGAGGTTCCATCCCTATTCTAGATGCGAACCTAGGCGATATAAATGAATGTGTGGCACCAGGGTCAATTAGTACTCGAGCAATAATATCCGAAATGTAAAGTATACCTTGTATTACTTCTGAAGTAGCGGTTGCCTCTGGAACTGTTATGGCAAACACATGTCCTTAAACCAACAGTCTACCAGGCTCTCTCGGCAGAGGGCAATCCCGCACGAAGTGTTGAGTGCTCCCGCACCGATAGCAGCCCCAACCGTCACCCATACATGGCCGATCCCCATGGTTCTTATCGAACTGCGTGCAAATTGGGTTACTCAGAGACATCTGATGACTTGGGGCTGCATCTTGTACCATTCTCTGCCTCTTTTCTATTTGGCCAGATGATGGTAGTGGTTATCTATAACTGGAAGATCGTTTATTATTCTCAGCATGTTCCTTATATAATGCCTCTACTAATTGTGCCTTTTCCAATACCATCTGATATGTAAGTAATGCAAACATAGCCACCTGGTGATACAATTCCGACCGTAACCCCTTCTCGAACCTTCTGGCCTTCTTTGCCTCATTCATCATAACCTCATGTGCAAACCGGCCCAAATCTATTTATCTCTCAACATACTCAACCACAGACAATCTTCTTTGTCTAAATTCGGTAAACTCTGCTTCTTTCCGCTACCTCAAAAAATCTGAAAAATACTCCGCATTGAAAGCTTCTAGAAATACATCCCACATGATTGGGGAGATCAGAGCTCCTCTTTTCAATTTTCATCAGCGCTCGGCGGATCCTCTTAACATGAACGTAGCCAGTTGCACCTTCTGTTCCGTGGTCACGGTTATCACTTCAAATAATTTTTCTGTCTCTTTTATCCAATCTTACGCCACCAATGGGTCAGAATCCC